GCTCCAGCCCTTGGAGCATCTTCGTGGCCTCCTCTGGACTCGCCCTGATGTGCGGGGCCCCCAGTGCTGGACGCAGCATTCCAGGTGAGGTCTGACAAGAGCAGAGTAGAGAGGGAGAATCCTGTCCCTCGACCTGCTGGCCATGCCTCTGGATGCAGCCAGATGAGCATGAGTTTTCTGTGACAAGGCAGCTCTAGTTCTTTTCACGAGTGCTTATGATAACTGCAAAACCAAGCCTGCCAGGCTTACTGAAAAGCTGGTGAGAACTTAGATTTTAAGCTACTGGGTGTTTTTTAAAGTGACTTTTCCTTCTAGTGTATTTACTCTGCTCAACTTCTGGTTTACTTCTTAATAAATGCTAACGCAGTGAGTTGAAGGCACGGGGGTCGGCACAATGAAAGAAAAAAAAATCCAGGCCGAACCTCTGGAAGAGTGGAGGTTAGATCAATAGATTGTTACCTATCTATGAATAGATAGATTCAAGGCAAAAATGTGAGCAGCTTTCTGAAGAGTCAATATAAGGATGACTTACTGGAATTAATACCTTTAAAATCATACTGTCTTCTCTTATCATGCGTAAAATACTTACGTTAAAGTCTGTATTTTCTCAGAACAAAGGAGACTATTCTGTGAACCTGATCTTACCATTCTTCTCATACAGCTGTTTGACCTGTGGCAGTAGAGGTTTCCTCTCATTGTAACTGCACGTTTTCGGCCTGTCTGCAGATACTCAGTTTTGAGTGGCCTTCGTTTTGAGTGTTCACCTAATCCTTTGTCAAAAGACAGAGTGGGTGGGACAATAAGTAGTAGTTTTAAATTGTATCAGGTTTCAAATTAGTTTCTTTAACTAAGCATGCCAAGGATTTAAAGTGCTAGAGAAGTGTCTTGTGAACCTGTTGTAGTCTCCATCTTTGAAGATCTTTAATAGTATACTGGGCAAATACCTGTCGGTAATTATACAGGTACACGATCTTGCCTTGGGGTGCAGGGATGTACGAGATGCCTTAAAGTCAGTGTTGCTCTTTCTTAAGGGTTTTGGAAAACTAATTTCTGAGAGCAAGAGCTTCTATTTAAGCCTTGTCTTGTAGATAAATACATCACACTAAAGGCTTTTGTGAAAACTTATTTTGATAAATAGTTGCCTGTGTTTTTACCCTAAAGAATTCTTTAGGATCTTTGTACTTCACTTAGAACGCCCATACTTAGGCTCAAAACTGATTTAACCTCCCCAGAAGTCAACCTAGTATTATCCTTTTGTTGTTTCTATTTCTTTTTTAAAACTTATTCTTCAGAAACCTAATGTGAAAGCGTTTCTTACAGCTTGTATGTTGCAGTTTTCTGTGGAAGTAGTGTTGAACGGCTGCGCTAATAGTTCTTTAACCAACCTTTACCTTATTTATATGCTGTATGTTTGAAGTATATATATTTCCTACTGTGTACACGGTTTGTACACATTCTTTGAATAGGCTGTCTGCTGAGATCTTCTCTTATTTTAAAAGTAGTCTTTATAAGAAGAAAGTCCAGTTAACTAAAAAAAAATAATCTATAAAGTTTGAACAGGGAGAAAGCAAACGCTTCTCAAATACAAATCTAGGTAAGATTTTTATGAAAAAAATCTTGACCTGGAATTTGCAAGAATCACTCTTTCGGATTTTGAAAATAATGAAAGCACCTACTCATGAGTGTTTGTGCTGCAGAAATGTTGCTTGTGACGTGTTAGTAGCGCGATTAAGCCTTGAATAATCGTGGGGATAATTGCAGTAATTCAGATGAGTAAAGAGCTTTGTTCAATCTTCAGGGCGCACGGTGGTGTTTACAGACCGTTCAGGTATGAGTGCAGCAGGCCACATAATGCTGGGGACCATGGATGTTCACCATCACTGGACCAAAGTAAGAAGATTTCAAAGTAAATGATAAAGCCTCTTGTTCTGACATCCTTTTTGAAACTGTAACAAAAATATTAGTTGGTGCAGATAACTGATAAGTAATTTAAAGCAAACACACAGATATTATGTTTAGCATAACTGTGTACATTGCCTTTGAAATTTAATCCTGTGATAGGCTGTTACCAACAACAGTCTTTGCCAGATCTTTACTGCTGCTTTCGCTAACAAATCCGTCCTACCCCTGATTAGATATAAAGGAAACTATGCAGTGTTCTACTCTATGAAATGAGCACTGGCAGAATATTAATGAGCCATAAAGAGCTCATTTCCATGAAGAATGTAGGAATTTTGATTCATTTTTTTTGTAAAAATTGGACTTAAAGGGAGTTGTGATCATTTCATTCTATGGCTGCTAGCCAACCCTGTCACACTCCATGTCTTTAGTGACCATGTGAATTCTGCTGCTCGATATGTCTGATTTCCTGTATTCTTTGATTTTTTTTCTTGTTCCCATTGGGTTCCATGTGAGCATTGTTAAGGGTCTCTTTTTTTTTTTTATACTTTCTTGTTATTTATTTTCATTTCTTAAAATTAAGTATTATGCTTTGTAACATAGCAAATGTTTATTTGTGCATGTCCACAGGTTTTTGAGAGATTGCCAAACTATTATAAACTTCAAAAAAGGTTGTTGCTGTTGGAAGATCGGATAAGCCAACTTCTGGGAGGCATACAAGTAATATATATTGAAGAACTGCAACCCCTGTTGACTCTGGAGGAGTACTACGAGACTCTGGACTCTTTCTATAATAAATTACGTGACAGTAGACTACCTTTTCATCCTCGCAGTCTGCGCGGCCTGCAAATGATTCTGGAAAGGTAGGTATTTGCAGGAAAGATTGCTTCCTTTTAGAGCTTTTACTTTTGTTTTGTCAACACTGATTACTGCTCTCACTAAGAAGAAAACTAACATAATCTAGGTTTTTCATTATCGTAGAATCACGGAATGGTTT